CAGCCATTTTTGGTGCTATATAGAATCATTTTCTTGGTAACACTATTTAGAGTGGTCCTTTGTAGATGATTAATAAGCTTTTAGCAGATTATCAGTAACACATCAACAACATATCAGTGGAGTAGCTGTAGTGAATTATCTGAATACATTGAGGTAAATATGTTGAAGATGTACTGTTGATACATTTCTTACATTAAGTAGATGTTTTGGTGATATGTTACATGAAGTGTTACTTCCATTAAGCAAAATCTAACCGCAACCTAAAACCTAATCCTAACCCTCCCCCAGCCCTAATCCTAACCTTCACCCTGACCCAAAACCTAACCCTAACCTTCAACCTGACCCTAATCCTAATCCTAACTTTAACCTCAACCAAAGCCTAAACGTAACCCTCACCCTGGCCCTAATCCTAACCATAACCCTGGCCCTAATACCAACCCTTACTTAACCTCAACCCAAAACCTAATCCTAACCCTAACCCTGCCCTAATCCTAACCCTAACCTTAACCTCAACCCAAAACCTAATCCTAACCCTCACCCTGGCCCTAATCCTAACCCTAACCTTAACCTCAACCCAAAACCTAATCCTAACCCTCACCCTGGCCCTAATCCTAACTCTAACCTTAACCTCAACCCAAAACCTAATCCTAACCCTCACCCTGGCCCTAATCCTAACTCTAACCTTAACCTCAACCCAAAACCTAATCCTAACCCTCACCCTTTCTTTACTAAAGAACCCTTGAAGAACCATTATTGTTAAGAGTGTGTTATTGTCCTAATAGTGTAGATTTTAGACTTTTAGGCCTGCAGATTTTAATGGCCAGTGTCTGATTTACAAAGGTTTAAACAACTTCTTGACATAATCTCTTCACATTAATACCTCAATGAAGTTGAAAGAGCTTAAAAATGTAAAATATGAATTTTAAGATAACTCTGACTCAGGCTTTTCAGAAAAAGTGCGATGAAGTCAATAAAGAGCAATGATGTCGTTTGGCCCACTTTTTCACACTTAGACACTGAGAACCAGTTAATCAGCTCACTTATGTCACGTCACTTTTGCTAAACACTGAGCTGTCGGAGCAGACAGAGTACTTAGTCAAATAAATTCACAGTCAGGACAGTAAACAAATGTACGTGAGTGGACATAGCGCAGACCGGCCAGTGGAACAGATGTGAGGAAGTTTCCATTTTCCAGTTTTTTGGGTTCTGTTGAGGCTGAGTTTCCACTTTTCATTACTTGACCTTTTGAGAGAGAGACGGCGAGACAGATCCAAAATGCTGCAGCAAGGTCAGTCCAGCGGTGAGAGAGACATCGAGCTCTATCTACTTATCAGCACACAGAGAAAATCACTGGCCAGTTAATGCACTTTTTGAAGCCTGTCATTAGTGTTGGGAGAGTGCTGCTTAATGGCCTGTTGCTGGATAGCAATTGTTTGGTCAGTCAGACTGTATAGCATTGATTTAGAGGTGATGGATTTGCCCGTACATGCTGCAGCTCCAAACGTCAATCATTTAGTCCTTCCTGGAGAGCATATTTGGATTTGAAATGTAAATCTTAAAGAGAAATTCTGCTTCAAAAAAAAAAAAAAAAATTCTGCTTAATTCAGCCGTGATGATGTAAACAAAGTCATGGAGAGTTGTTGCTTTGAACCAATTCATTGTAGAGAAACTGATTCAGATGTCTTCACAGTGGTGCTGATAGGAACCAGGGGTCACAATGTCTACAACACAAATATAGCCATTTTATTCACTATCCAAAACCACCAGTGAACCTACACGAGTCTTCTGAGCTTTTATATGGAATGGTAGTAATGATAGTTGATGATAGTAAAATAGTGATTAATCTGAAAAAATTAGTTTTGTTTGGGGACTATTTTGCCTCACAACACCCTACATGTATCCCTCCACCAAAAAATGGATTTTTGAAGGCCAAAGTCTTCTCAAAACTATTATGAAACAATGTTAAACTCTTCAGATGTCTGGTTCCTAACAGCACCGCTGTGAAAAGTTTCTCTATAATGGAGCATTTCACATCAAACCACTCGATATGACTTCATTTACACTTTAATGGTTTGATTATGTACAAAGTCATGTAGAAAGTTTGAAAAATATTCCGCTTGAATGCAAAACAAATAACTCCTAAAGCATGGGCTTGGATGGGAATTGGATCAGATATTTTTATTTAATATGATCAAATAATATATATTTTTCCCTGTAAGTCTGTTATCAGATAAACGAGGACGAGGAACTAGGAAATGTTGTGACTCTGTGTTGAGCTGCTAGTGAGCAACGAGGGCGAGATGCTATGAAAAAAATCACACTTCTCCACATAGACGCCCATGCCAAGTTAAAACGGACAACAGCAGATTTCTTGATATCAAATAATCCTGTACAGCTGACACAATAACCAAACAGCATTTAATCACAATAAAAACACTAATAAATGTTGGCTTAGTTGCTCACCAACAAAGATGAATACCCTGTTCACGTTCAGTTTTGCAAATTATACACATTTTCATCAAAAATATACGAGCACAAAAACAGATAGAAAATGCATTTTATGGCTACTGTGAAAAAGAGTTAGTAAGTAATTACACCATTTTTGTTATTGTCAGCAAAAGCTGTAGCTTATAAGGGTTAATGATTATAACAGAGAGTCGTGTCTGGTTTATTTGTGCTCAGTTTTACTGACTTTGTAACCAAATATTAGGAAGACACAGAAAATCTGACATCATGGGGACAATTTGCAGTTTCTTTACACAAGCAAACTTTTCCCAAACTAAAAACCGAGACTTCCTTTTGGCTGTTGAGGTCAAGCTTTGGGACAGAGGCGTAAAACGTCTCTGTTTAGCTACAGAAACACTGACAGTAAATGGGACACCTCGTACAGACAGTAATACAGCCATGTCTGAGTGTGTGTGTTTGTGTTTTTGCTCTGCCATCTGGAATGAGTTTAAACTCTCCACTCCTCTTTAGGGCTCTGTCTTTGCCTATTCTTTGCTGGTTTGAGGAGCTACAACCAGCCAGCCTTGCATTTCATTGTGCAGAAGAATCTTCTTTAGAAAGCTCTCCTCTACTCAGTTGAAACTTTCTTAACTGATCACAGATTTGCCCCAACTTGCCCCCCGCCAGAGGGCCAGAAACAATCATCAACCCGAGAGTCCATAGGTTTCAGGATTTATCAGTGAATCTAAGATCAGATCTGTCTTGTCTATATAATCACACCCTTTAGAATGTGAGTGAGAACAACTGATCCTGGAGCAGCTGAGAAATACGACCTCTGTTATAATGTTCCTCTCCAAGCCCTCAACTACTAACAGATGCCAGTATGGAGGAGGGACTGACACTGTAGAGCTTAATGCAGAGACCTAGTCAGCACACAGCTGTACAATCTCAGAAAAAGGATGGTAAACTGTACTTTTCTGGGAACAAACGCTGTCATTGGGGTTTTGTCTTTGAAGTTTTTACGTCCCATCTTGAGTCCAGGCCTTTTTATTTGATGTTTCTTATTTGAAGTTGATTTAAGGTGCACAATTGGACCTTAAGGACCACACTGTACCTTTGAGGGTACCTTTAGAGTACCCTTTTTTCGACAGTTTAGCTGAGAACTAAGATCAATATTGTTGACCATATATGCCTTTTTTTAACAATGATGAACCGCTATTTTATCTGATCCATCGAAGAACCACTTTTTGTTCTCAAACCATTCTGTGCCAGTTAAGGCTTTACTAGGACTGTACGTCCAAGCCAAGAACCTTCTAGGAACCCTCTTTATTAGTACTAAGAGTAAACATTTTTTGTCCCATATATATATCGAAGCAGTGAGCACCTACTGCAGTTGTAAAGTCAGAAGAACTTTATGCATGTTTCATTAGAAGTCATATGTCAGTGAGCAAAAGAAAACGTTGAGGTCAGACATCGCAGATTTTTTTCTAGCTACAATATGGTTCGAACAAAAGCACGACTCTCCTTTGAAGGAACATTCTGGCCCAGGACCAGACTCTTCTTAACTTCTAGGCACAGACAAAAGTACCAAATAACACAGCTTGCGTCCTGCAGGCAGCGCAGAGATCTATGCGCCGAGCCGGGTGTCGGGTGTCCAGACGTCTACCTTAGGCCCTGGAGGAAGGGGCTTCACGCTGACCACATGCAGAGAAAGATGCCTCTGTGGGTGAAGATGAAAGCACGGCGACTGCTGATTTACACCCACACATCTGCGGGAAGTTGGACGCGGCCTCCTCGGATACCATGCTCCGCAGACGGCCAGAAGCGGCAACGTTAGTCAACAGTCTTATGTAAGGTCGGTCTGGCCCACTTTCGGCCTCCTCTTGTCAGTTTTTCCAGGATCTTATTTACAACTGGAGCTCTAACTGGTGCAGACTGGGTAGTATAATAGCACGCAGTTGGCATTACATGCAGCCAAAATACCTTTTTATTTTCCCTCCCCCTTTTTTTGACTTTCCACATTGTTTGATGAAATAGGAATATTCTGTTGTAAGCATTTATCTTTTACAAGAGAGTTGGCAGAGGCGTGGCCATGCTTCGCATGTCCAGGTGTTTGTGCGGGACTCCTTCACAATAGCTTGTTTGTTCCATGCCGTAATTCAGAATAAGTGGGCAATAAGGAGGCGTGCGTATCACACAGGTATATATATTTTGAGAAGACGCCCTGGTGAGTGTTTGCACCCAAGGCTGCTTCGGCTGCACCTGTGTTTTGTCATACGTTCGAACCCACATGTCAGAGCCTCTGTTGCGCCGTCTGACTGACTGCTGTTTTCCATCACTCTAGGCCACTGTGGTTTAACTGGGTGAGTCTCACATCTCCCTCCTCTCTCTCTCACTCTCTCCCTCCTTCTCTCTCCCTCCCTCCCTCCCTCTCTCGTCCTCTCCAGAGACCTCGGGCCGTGCACATCTCTGCCTGCAGCCTGAAACAGAGGGACAGAGAGTAAAGGTAAGTCAGCTCCTACCTGTTAGTCAAAGCGTTCTGTTGGGAATTGGAAATCTCGGTGGTTTTTTCTTGTCTGTTGTGGTCGTCTTGCTGATCCCTTTCGCCTTTCTGTCTGGGAGCATGTTCAAAGTCACATCTGGTTTGCTGTATTTGGAGGAAGTCTGAAGAAAACTGTATCTGCTGTACTGTAAATGTGGACTGATGATTCGAATGTGTATGCAAAGTATTTGTATGGGTTGCATTTGCAATTAATGTAATTTAGCATGCTTTCTTTGCCTCTTTGAAAAGGTACATAAATCTATTCTTGCATGCACAAATTCCGGATTTGTATGCATCCAAATATGGGTCAGAATGCGGTGCAGCTTTAACAGTACTTTGATTATTCTTTCTTTGTTGCCCTTGCTATATTGGTGTGGTGTCTAGGTGAGGGAACATAGTTTAGATCATTGCCTGCTTGCAATCTGAGAAAGTGGGGGTGCAAATGGAAAGCAACGCAATCTTCGGGGAATGTACATCTGTATGGAGGGGGATGATGATGTGTGCAGTTTGATGATGTGTGCAGTAACCTGTAACCTGAGATAAACTTGGAGCGAAGGTATTCAATGACATACTTTAGTTGTGACCTGATTTGTTGACAGTGTTGAAAACTTTTCATGAATGTATCCATGTTCAAAGATGTTCAACAGATCATTATGTGTTTACGGATACTGTAAAATCCTTCTGGTAGTGTTGATGTCTAAGTAGAGCAATTTTCATTAAGTATAATGTCTGTCTGTCTCTCTCTCGCTCTCTCTATCTCTCTCTCTCTCTCTCTCTCTCTCTCTCTCTCTCTCTCTCTCTCTCCCTTACTTTTCTTCTCCTGCTTCCCATCAGCTTATTTTGGTCTCTGCTGTGCAGCTATGTTCCCTCTCCGCTTTCTCCTTTTCGGAAGCCTGGCCAGCCTGTGCATCTGCCAGTACTACGACTATGACTACGAACCTGCCCCACAGCCTGTGCTGTCCACACCCCACTGTGTCCAGGAGTGTGACTGTCCTATCAGCTTCCCCACTGCCATGTACTGCCACAGCCGCAACCTGAAGTTCGTTCCCATTGTCCCCAGTGGAATCAAATACCTCTACCTGCAGGACAACCAGATCGAAGAGATCAAGGCGGGTGTTTTTGACAATGTCACCGATCTGCGCTGGCTTGTTCTCGACAACAACAACATCACCAGTGACAAGATCCAGGGGGGGACCATTGACAAGCTGGGCAGCCTGGAGAAGCTCTACTTCAGCCACAACAAGCTGACCAAGCCTCCTGGCCCTCTCTCCAAGTCCCTGGATGAGCTGAAGTTAATTGGCAACCAGCTCACGTCGTTCCCCTCTGGCACGCTGTCTGGCATGGAGAACCTCACCACTGTCCACTTGTCCAAGAACAAGCTGACCTCTGAGAGCCTCGCTGGGGCCTTCAAAGGGCTAAAGTCGCTGATGTTGCTGGATGTGAGTGAGAACAGGCTAAGGAAGCTCCCAGCAGGCATGCCATCTTCCCTGCTGATGCTCTATGCTGACAACAATGACATCGACAGCATCCCCGGTGGCTACCTGGCCAAAATGCCCGAGCTACAATACCTTCGTGTCTCCCACAACAAGCTGGTGGACTCTGGGATTCCAGCAGGTGTGTTCAATGTGTCCTCTCTCTTGGAACTGGACCTGTCCTTCAACAAGCTCCAGTCCATCCCTGAGGTCAACGAAGCGCTTGAGCACCTGTACCTGCAAGTCAATCAAATTAACAGTGAGTAGACACCCTCTCTTCACCCTCTATATCTCTTGGCTCACAACTTGTACAATCGTATTTACGACTTGTTTCTTTTTGCAGAGTTTGACCTGACAAGCATCTGCAAGTTCACTTCACCTGTAAACTACTCCAGACTGAAGACCCTGCGCCTGGACGGGAACAACATCACCCACAGTAGCATGCCTGCTGACTCGTCCAACTGTCTCCGCCAAGCCTCCGAGGTCATTTTCGATTAGGGTCGCCTCGCCAATGTGCACATCAGCTCTCCTTGTCAACTCCCTCCTTCATTTGATCTAATCAAACATGAAATTTGCCAAGTTACACGCCAATCTGTGGTTACCGAGGATGACGTACCCTCGTACAACATCGTAACCACGTAAACCCAAATGTACAGTTCACCCTTTGCATTAAGAACAACATATTTACTGAGATTTGTACATGTTTGTTTGTGCCACAGTGGTAGAAATGTAGAGTACACTGAGATCTACATTTGAAATCTTGAAATCGAAATCCTCGGCACATAAAATATGCCAGTGTCTTGTACGAGGCACACATGTATTATTCATTTTATGTATTGCTAATGTGTTAGAGGATAGAAAATACATTTGTAGGTGTCTCCTTTTTTGAAGCAAACACACACTTCAAACATTCCAATCTCAAATATTTATATAGATCAAATTGCAATACATAGCCTCTTTTGCCCTGCAAGCTGTTGTATAGATTGTATCTTTGAGTTCTTATTAGTTGCAACAGGGCACCATCACTGTACACTTACTGTACGCATTGCATTAATAAGCCTGCAGGTAAGGAATACTGAATGAAAAATGTTGGTTGACAATGTTGACATGTTATAAACTATACCTGTATTCTATCTCTTCTTTGTTTAGAACCTATATCAGTTGAACTAAAAGAGGCATCGGATGTATCACTCTTTGTTTCAAATATCTAGAAAATACAGGAAAGTACAGCATTGCTGAATATTGCATTAAATATCTTACACTTGTTTTCTTCTCAGCAGATGGCTGATCATTCAAACTGCTTAAGTGTAATAAGTATAGTAATAGTAATACTGTGAAAAATTGCTATGCAGTTCAAACTAAAGTTTTACTTAACAGCAGCTTACTGCTCTACAAAACTGACCATGTTTATGCATTATTCTAATTTACTTGCATGCAATTCATCATACATTCTTTAGCAACAAATGCTTCACTTTTTATGCCATTGGTATAAACTAATTTTACATGTTCTATAAATCATTGCATTGTCACAGTGTCACGCTATATTTGAAACAAAGTTTCAGCAGCATTGAGGATGTACTGTTAAAAGATGAGCATACCTTGATTTGTTTGTTTTTTTTTTTATTGTGAATTTGAAAGTAAATAAATACACTAAGTAAATAAGTTCCAGAGATGTTGTGAACTTTAACCCTACAAGAATATATCAGTAACACTTTACTTCAACCCTGCTTTATAATGTTGACATAACCAAACCATAAACATGACAGATTATGTCCCGTAAATATAATAATGTGTTATGTTACTGTTTCTGGTAATTGTTATGAAATATGTTATGTTTTGATGTCAAGACTGCTAACTAGAGTACACAGTAATACTTTATTGTAGGGTACTGTTCATAAGGCTATACAAAGCCTACATAACGCTGTTGTCGGAAGAAAACCTCGTATCTCCAAATCGATAACTTTACGGGAGAAGGAAAAAAACGTATTTACTTTCAATGTAAGTGAATGGAACCAGACTTTTGTCCAAGTGATTTACGTTGTGTGATTATAAAAATCACACACAATGTAAGCGTCAATAAGCTTTTTCAAATTATGTCAAAAACTGAAAAATGGAGATATGAGGTTTTGTTCCGACAGCAGCAATAAGCTCGTATGACAACTGACATAACTCTACATAAATGTTCATAAAAGCTTATTCCAATAGGCGTCATCTGTCATAAAGGCCACTTTAGCTAACTTTGATCAAAATTGGCAAATATAAACTTTATAGTGAATCTATTGGAATAAATATTTATAAACATTTATGTAGGGTTATGTAAGTTGTCATGACAAGCTTATGTAGATGTCATGTAGCCTTATGAACACTGCCCTACAGTAAAGTGTTACCGAGTTAAGTTACCCTTATTAGTCCCACAACAGAGGAATTTCACCCCGCATTTTAACCCATCCATGCAGTGAAACACCCACATAAACACTAGTGAATGCACACACACTAGGGGCAGTGAGAACACTTGACCAAAGCAGTGGGCAGCCCTAACCATGGTGCCCGGGGAGCAGTTGGGGGTTAGGTGCCTTGCTCAAGGGCACAAACATAAACATGTGACAAACAAACATTATAGCACCTGTCATGACAGTTACCAGTAATGGTAACATGGCACTGTACTGAACAGGATATCATTGTGACCCATAACAGCAAGTTACATCTTCCATCTCATGGTTATGCCAAAGGGTTCAATATATATAATAATATGTAATAATATATTACCGTCACCATATACAGCAAAAAACTGTACTGATTACTTCCAGTATGTACTTTCAGCTAAGCATGCTGAATACATTTTGGTGAACAATCTTGGACAGTTGTTTGCTCTGTTTCATGTACTGGAATAATTCCAGAGGGTTTAAATTAAATATCACTCCATCAAATTTGCATCAGTGCATCAGCGTTATATCTTTGGCACTGCCAGAACAATAAAATGTCTTCTGCTTTTCATTACGAGGGCCTGCATCCCACTTCATGTTTGATTAGTCTGGAGAGTGGAGATGCTTTCTATTCCAGCTTGGGACAGCAACAGTCCTGAGACTCCTGAGAAGATTTTATCTTATCTATACTCTTAAAAAGAAGATAGCTCTTCAAGGGTTCTGTAGTAGAGACAATGGTTCTATATACAACCATGAATAATTAAAGAACAATTCACACGCTTAAAAAGTTCTTTGCATCATGAAATGGTTCATGTATATGGTTCTATATATCACCAAACGGGGGTCTTCTATTGTTATGATGTTAAGCTTGTATACAAGAAGAACCCTATTTTGTGCTATGTAGAACCATTTTCAATAACGTTCTATATAGAACAGTATAAAACCTTCTCCATCAGTTTGTATATCTATTTTATCATGCAAAGGACCATTTAAGCATGAAATGGTTCTATGTAGGACTCATGGTTGAAGAGAACCATTCCCTTTACTAAAGAACCCTTGAAGAACCACCTTTTGGAAGAGTGTAGATTCTGTAGTAGAGAGAAAATTGAGTAACACTTTTCTTAAACCATGCTGTGACATTGACATAGCCGTGCCATAAATGTCACAGGAAATGTTATGACAGATGTGCTTCAGTAATATAAGTGTGATGTTACTATTACCAGTTATTGCCAAGACAGATGGCCTAGTGTGTGATGTCATGATGGCTTGAGTACACTTTTAAAAAAAAGATCTTTTCTTTAGGGTTCTTTAGTAAAGGATTGAATGGTTCTTTGCACCATAAGAGGGTTCTTCAGATTGATGGAGAATGTGCTGTGGATGGGTTTGAGGGTTTTTCTACTGATACAAGCTTGACATTGTAACAATAGCAGAACCCTTTTCGGTGCTATTTAGAACACTTTCCAAACAGGATATTGTTGAGATGTTAATAAAAGGAGATTATGTCAAGAAGTTAATAAGAACTGGCCATTGAAATAGCCACAGGCCTAAGAGTGCCCATCTACACCATTAAGACAATAATATTCTTATAAAAATAACGGTTCTTCAAACTCTTTAATTAAGAAAATGATTCTATGCAGCACCAAAAACACATCTACAGCACGTTCTCCATCAATCTGAAAACGCTTTCATGATGCAAAGAACCCTTTAATTATGCAAAGGGTTCTTTGAGTGTTCATGGTTGTATATGAAACCATTTTCTTTATCAAAGAACCCTGTAGAACCATTTTTTAAGAGTGTATGGTTAGTAAAAATGACCACTTGACATAAGCTGCCATAAGATCAAACACTACAGCATCTGTCATGACCGTTACTGGTAAAGCTAACATGATACTGTTACATTATTGGACAACATCTGTCATGGTTATGTCCCTGTGATTAGCAGAGTTTGAGTGATGCGTTAAAGAAAACTGTAGATGACATGGAGCAGATATCTCTCTCTAATACTATGGATGGTGAGTATTATCGTGTTCTTGCTGAGCTAAATTCTTATTAAAGAAACTGACAAACAACCGACAACCAGTATCGTCTGGATATGTTGAACCACCACTGTGGAACACAGCCCTCCTTCTTGAAGAACATCACCAATGCCTTTCTACTGAATCATGACCACAAAGCCACAGGCATTCAAAATAACTGTGGCACTGAAGTATAGTTGGTTGTAACACAATTACAAGTTTGCCTTAAAGACCATGTTTTACCATAACTCTCTAAAAATATGAGTCATCATTAACCTCCTAATTAAACGTGCTGGATCTCTTTAATTGAGTTGAATGACTCTGACATACAGTTGTGAGAAGTTTGGAAAGCCTTTGAATGATCTAGATTACCTATAAATGCGATCTGATCTCTTAAGCCTTCGGTTATCCACAAATTTAGTAACATCTTTTATCCCTGCACTGTTAGAAATAAAGGTTATGTGCAGGCACATTTTTCGTTCATCACAGTACAAACAATGTAAAAGTTCCCATGATTTTAAGGTCCAACTGTGAAGTTTTTCCAGGTGAAAAGTTCGTATTTGTACATTTTTATAACCGAATGTTTTAAAACAGAACAGTAAAATAAAAGCCTGGAGACGAGACGGGGTGTGTGGAGTCAGTACAGCTTAGAACATATCATTTCAGTGGATTATGGTACAGATATGTTCCCTGACTAAAGGTACTGAGATGTACCCATGAAACTACCAACAATTTGCATACAAAATGTGTACAGGACATTGGAAATATATCATCCTGTTAATTTTATGTTTACCCAGTTATCCCCATTAAATTAGGATAATAATAGAAGTGTTAAGTAGTAAAAAATTAAATTGTTTATTTAAATAAGACACACTTAGAGGGGAATTTAATAAGCTTGTATAATCAGCATCAGAGGTGGGAAAAGTTTGCAAATGTTTAATAACTAGCGAAAACTCTCCCTCCATGTACATGTTTGGGATGTCTTGCTTGAACTGCCTGGTTCTGATCATACCACAGCATGTGGGGTTTGGGCTGAGTTCAAGACTCTGACTTGGCAACTCCAAACTGTGGAATTTCTTGTGTTTGAATCACTCTGTTTGGTAATTTACCCCTCTGTTTTAGATTATTGTCATGTGGCATGGCCCAGTTTCTTCTCAGATTAAGATCGCAGATGATTTTTGACATTCTGCTGTAGAATTTCCTGAACTTAAACTTCAGTGGTCTCTATATTATTGCAACTGATGAGGCCTTGAGGCAGGAAAGTAGTCCCACACCATTATTCACCCTCCACCATGCTTCACAGTGGTGAGGTTTTGGTAATGGTTTCCAAATTTGAGATGAGCAGAGAGAGGGATTTTTGGAGAGCAGTGGTTTCCTCCATGGTAACCTTCCATGAACTCTGTGGGGCTTTTCATGTCTTAGACTCATGGATTTGGTAGATTGTGGCGTTATGGACTTGCAGGAACCACCAGGGGATGATGGTTACTCCTCTTGGGAGTACTTATGATGTCCCTGATCATTTCCAGCTAAAGAAAGAGGAAGAGTGCATGGCTTGGCTAATTTATCAACCAGAGAGGTTCTGTTTGGAGACATGTGTGAGATCCATGTCCCGTTTTTTTGAAGAGATTGATTGCTTACCCTCCTTTCCTGACATCATACCACCCTTTCCAATGTATCCTTCAAAAGCAAGAAAGGAAAACCTGTGTCAAATGGATGGAGGTAGCCAATGCAAGTGGATATTGGCCACAGATCCCAGTAAAGTTTCTAACTGGTGGGCTCTGTAAGTGTAAACTGTAACGTTTGGTAACTACCCTAGGCTGGAGACCATATCAGTGGTCCATAACAAATGTCTAAATGACCACGTGCAAAGGCCAGATGTGATTTTTGTGAGGATAACTGAGTGTGAAATTTCCAAATCAGTCCGATGCCTTGTGAAGTCGCAACTAGGGGCCGATGGCATACTTGTCAACATTGTCCATTGGACCTCAACATTACCTCTCGCAAAGTTCTGCTTACAATAGCGCTTTGCTTCTGTTGTCAATTGTACCCCAGCTTTTAAAACACCATTTAGAGGGGGGTTTAGAGGGGGCAAATGCTTGTTAGTGGCAGATTTCACAGCAGTCCAGCAGCAAACGTTTAACAGCCTTCCTCAGACGTATTTTCATTATGAGATCACGTCTGGCCCCACAAGATTTGTGCAAGAGATGCCTGCAGATCCTTGGCTGTTTCCTTATGGTTCTTTGCCCTTG